TTTGTGCCCGCTACCAGAGTCGCCCCGAAGGGCATGAGCTGCGTTGCCCAAGACACCCTCTCTGGGAGGTTCCCTCTGACCTGAACACACCAGGCACGCCCAAGGGAAGCCAAGGGGGGGGGGGGGGAGAGCTAATCTCCTGCCAGGGACTCTGCCAATGGCTACTTTAGAACAGCTTAGCTGCTGCCCTACAGATTTTTTTTTGGGGGGGGGGAAAGTTGTCACCAAGAGTCACTGCTGGTCTCTACCGCGGCATCAGTGTGCCCAGAATGAAATGCCCCCATCCCCATGGAGCTGACGGTGCCCACCCAAGCATTATATGGAAGGGATCTGGCTTAATTTTCTTGTTCAAAAGGCAACAAGATTTCTCTTTCAGGAACAGATCACTCACTCAGGATTGTGCTTTTAGGAAAGATCACTAGAGCGATATTAAAAATTCGATAGCCCAGCACAATTAAAATGCACATTTGCACACATACACACTCGCACACGCATTGGATCTTTTGGGTAATCCAACTGATTACCCAACATTCCACTTTGCCCACCTGTGGCCCAGAGAAAACTCTTTAAAAAATGAGTTGGGTTTCAAAAACCCAGGAACCTTGGTCTCTAAATGCCCCCTTTTCTGTAAAGGATTGCCAAGAATGGACCAGGCTTCCTGGGCAGTACCTTCCTTGCATTTTCACCAAGAACTCTGCCCAGGCTGCCCCTCCACACAGAGACGGCCTTGCTATTCTCAGGACCACAAGAAACAAGTACTGAGAAAGCTTGTGGCAGTGCAAAGGGAGTCCAATTTGCCTCCTGTTCCTCCCAGCAGCATCACCTTCCTCCTTACCTAAAGGGGTTGCCTCGGATAACGTTTCTGCCAAGGGTCCTTCCTCCCTGGGCAATGCAGTTTGGAAGTCAGCCACTTCCGTTTCCTGAACTAAATTTCCCTGGGATTTGCAGGAGGAGGAGGAGGCCATTCCAATGTTTGAAGTGACCGTAGAAATAGCAGCTAGAAAGGAGCCGTAATTGCAGACCTCTCTGAAGTCCAGCAAAGGCAGAATGTTCTGCTTATGTTAAATATACATACATACGTTAAATACACACACATATATATATCTATATGTACCAGAAATGCACAAACACATACACAGACAAGCCAACAGACGGACAGAAGCCTTTAAGAGTTGCTCTTTTTGTTACTTTTCCCTCTCCAAAACGGAATGGGGAGATTAGAAGCCCACAGAGGAACTGCAGCACTGTTTAGGGGTCCAAAGGAAGAAAGCGGGGAACAGCTATGGCTAAAGGGCTTCCGGCTTGCAGGAAAGCATTTTCACAGCAAAAACAAGGGGACTTGCTCAGCCCAAAGGGAGGCTTTTTCCTGGCAGGTTTTGACAGGTAACAAAACCCCATTTTGCTCCTCTTGAGAAACACCTGAGTTTAAAGGAATCAAACCACCAAGCCTCCCTCCCTCCCTCCCTCCCGGAGAAGCCGAGGTCCCTGCTGAGGGGCGATTCTGGAGGAAGACAAGGCAGGGCTGCCCTCTTCGCCTGCTTCAGAAGGCGGCTGACGGGGGCCCTCAGAGACGGAGTGGGGGGACGCTGATGGGCACGATCCCACGGCAGCCAAAGACTGAAAGGATGGAGAAGGGCTTCCCTCCGGGAAAAGGGGGAAGGAGCCAGGGCAGGCGGCCCCCCTCAGAGCAGGGGAGGACGAGAGGCCACAAGCAGAAGCAGAGCAGGGAGCCCAGTCCAGCCTCATGAAAGCAGACGTCCATCAGTCCATATGGCAGCAGGGATTTGGCACCAAGGCCTGCGGACGGAGGAGGCTGCCCAGAAGAGCTCCAGGGCAGAGATGGCCCCGAAGGGCAGCCCAATCCAGAGGGCGGAGGAGGTCAAGCGTCAGCCCGGGTCCTCCAGTGCGGTGGGACAAGATCTGGGGAGGAAGCCGCACGCCCCCAACCGACACGCACGGCAGGAAGATCTGAAGAGAGGGGGGGAACTAAGGACTGGCCCGTTCCTGCCACCTTTGCCAAGGCCCCCATCTCCCACTCTGGGCCAGGTCAAATGCCCGCCTGGCCAAGACGGGGGAGGGAGGGGGGGGTCGGAGTTCTTTGGTCAAGTGTCAGAAGGAGCGGCTGCTGGGCAGATGGGCGAGGCCAGGTTCTCCTCTGCTGCCTCTCCAGGGGGTCGGAGCCCAGGACGGACCCTCCCGGGACCCTCGGCGTCATCCATCCTCCAAGGGCAGGAAGGCCAGGGTGACAGGGAGCTTCCCAATCACTTGTTCTCAATCAGCGTCTGGACTTTGGAGACGAGTTCCCGGGCCAGTTGAAGGACCTGCTTCGTGTTGTGCCGCTCGGCCATTTCTGGGAGGGAGAAGCGGGAGGGAACCTTAGACCAGGGGCCTCCAAAGAAGGCCAGCTGGGGAATTCTGGGAGTTGAAGTCCACGAGGCTTAAAGTTGCCTTAGGCTGCAGCCCCTGGGGCAGTGGGGGAAAGCAGGCACTTTGTGCCGGATCCCACCCCAGCAAAACCAATCGGGAAGGTCCCTCTGCTGAAGGGTGGAGGGTCTCTTGAGAAACGAGGACCCTCAGCAAAGCCCCCAGGCCAGGAAGACCCTCCCCCCCCCCAGTTAGGCCAGGCAGCTTCCTCCGTGGGGCTCGTACCATTGAAGAACTTGATGATGTCCGTGAAGTCCATGTTGTTCTCCAGAATGATGTCCCGATACACCTCCACCAGGGCCAGGGCGATGAAGAGGCCGTAGCAAGGCGAGGAGACCTGAGATGCCGCCCAGATGGTCTCCCAGACGGTGAAGACATCCTCGTAGACCAGCTCTGGGGGGGAGGGGGGGCACGGAGGGAGGAGCAGAAGCCGTGAGAGCTGCCAGACCCCACACCGGTCCCCAGAAGCCCATCCTCCTTACCCCCCCCCCGGGATTCACCACACCCCCAGGCCCAGATCACACCCAACCCCACACTCAGGAGGACCACTGAGCCCATGAAGCTGTGCCTGCAAAGGGCCCCCCTCCTGGCCCCCAACAGCTCTCCGTGCCACTTCTGGCCCACTCACCTCGCTTGAAATCCAAGAGGAACCAGCGATAGCAGAAGTAGAAATGGGTGTAATCCCCGTTTTGGTGCATCAGTTCGAAGAGCTCTGAGTCCAGGATCTGCCAGAAAAGCCCATTTGGGTCTGGGGGAGAGGACAGCCAGGCCGCAGCACCCTCTGGCCCAACGCTGCTTCCAGGAGGGCCCAGTTCAGCCGCCTCCCCACAGACTCCCCCACTGGGAGCCCCTTCCCTCCTCTCCCCCGTCCCACCAGAAAGCCTTTCCTGTTGAATGTCTGCCTGTTTGAGAGGAACAGCCCCCCCCCCCCCCCCCCCCCAAAACCAGGCCAGGCA